ATTGGCCATTTCGTTTTATGATAGCATCATATCAGAGATCCAGGAAGTTTAATTGATTAGTCACACGGCAAACTCTCATCGTAACGTTTCATTATTACATTTTTGTTGAAAATATTTATTGAAACCGAGCTGAAAAACTGTAAATTATTTTGAAAAGCAATTCACTATAATCATCACGTCCTTTTTTTAAGTCTACATGTTAAAGTCATTCGAATTCTCTGTAATGAAAAAAAAACTTTAATATAAAGAAGATGTGACACGACTAGTCTCAGAATTTTCTCCAAACTCTCTGTGATGAAAACTATTGATATTGTAAAAATCAAATCAGGCACAGGCAAATATTGTTTGCCGGTCGGCAGGGGATGCTCATTTCTCCCTGGCACCTGATCCCACCTCTAATGATTTAGAAGTCAGTGTTTGCTCTGCTCCCGATTTGTATATTTCATGAACTTTGAACTTGAATATTGTTTGTTATCTTCATATTTCATTTATTACCATATTCCTCACTAAAAATTCAAACTTTTGCTTTCTGATATCACTGACAACTGCTTCTTCAATGAAAACTCATCAAATCAGAATATTTATAAACAACAAAATACTTTCTTAAAAGTCAGAGGAATTCTACAGTAAATGTACCCAGGAGGCTGGATTTCCTCATTGACAATATCTATATAGCATAACCACTTGTAGAATTAAATCCAAGTTCTTCTACAATACAATTTATATAATGAGCCTTACAGACGAAGACAATTTTGTTACCTGCTTTGTCGGCAGGGACCAGTACGTACTGATCATGTAATCTATCTAATTTTTTTTTCACTTCTGGATTATTGAACACAGAAGGATAGATGGTTTTCATGATGCCCCTCAATCTTTTAATACGTGACTTTAACATAGATCTGATACATTTAATCCATTCTGACAGGGTGTCAACGCCTCCATTATATATCTGGTCAATAGTCTGGCGTAATTTTCAACAGAATCCATAATATTTATAAAATTCCGATGCCAGTTGAAGGATCGGGTTCCCTAAATTTAGGACCTTTTAGAATAAGTGACAACACAAATAAAATAAAAGACAACACACAGTATTATTATAAAAAAGATGCAGTTTGTTTTTGTTTTAATATATGAAGCGCGCTTGGCAAAAAAATACTCTGACTTGCAATACATTTACAGCTATAATTTAGGCGTATTGAAAACGTGGTAGAATATTTCTTAAAGTCTGATCAATTGCCATAGCATGCTATGAATGCTTTACCAGTATCCGGCAGTAATACATTATCATTTTAAATTGTCATGAAAAGGAGTAAGGATCAAAATAATCTGAATTGGAATTTGTTATAGCTTCACATGTGTCAAAAACTGGTTATTTTTTGGAAGTTTTCTAGTATATCTGCCTTGAACCAAGCCCCTTTTGACATTCAAACTCCATGGAACCGGACATAACCGAAATACTAACTACCCCTGCAATACTTGTTAGATTGATTGATTGATTGATTGTATGAAAGTTGTTTTACATCTCTCTCGAGAATTTTTCACTCATATAGAGACGTCAGCGTATGCCGGTGAAGAGCTTCAAATTTAGACCTATACTTGGTACTCAGGGCCATTTAGCAGAAAGGGTTCTTCAACGTGCCAACGCCTACCACGACACGGGACCTACGTTTTTAAGGTCATATTCGAAAGACCCTTGACTTTCATTTATAAGACGAGCGTTTAGCGAAGGAACAGTCACTACATATGTTTACGTCTTAGGTTTGATGCGGCGCCGCGAATGAAAATCGAACCCGGGCCCCCGATCACGAAGCAAACGCTCTACCACTAGGCTACCGTGACCGGTGCTACTACTCTTATTTAGTAGTTTAAAAATTAGGAATATTTACTAACTAATTTTCTTGTATAATCATAAACTGTAATTAAAATTGACAATTGATGAGCTCAACTGTAAGTCCGCAAGTTCTTTCATGCTTTAAAATATCAATACATGTTTTCTATATTCTTTAAATAAATTAAAATCTTTATAGAAATATTTGTACATAATTAAAGTTCATGCTTATATCGTAATTGAAGAGCTTGTTATATCCTTATAATTCAGCATATCTCGTTGATAACTTCGTTAAAAGTATGCTGTTTCTCACCTCGCATATGACGTCACTGGAATATGGCATCGAAATCCGATTTCAATATGCGTAGCGCCGTATTTGAATTTCAACCACTAAATATCGTAAAACACATGCGTACAACAATTTGTTTTGTATCCATGTAAGCATCTTAACAAACCAGCGTATTTTATGTAAAGTTGTGTTTTTTACGATCATGCAACGTGTCTTAAATCTTCATATGATGATTTCCACTGAGTTAAGCATGAAAAATAATAATTCAATATAAATTTATATACAAAAATTACTTTAAAAAAAAGAATAACCAATTTTTTTAAGTTAGACCATCCAGTAATCTTACAGATTACTTCTAGCAGTGGGTATATCCTATATATCGATCCGTCACATCCACTCTGTACTCCTTGTCTAGATTGGAAACCCAAAGATATATTAGTGCATAAACCATTGTTGTACGAGGGTTGATCCAAAAGTTCGTGGAATTTCTGTGTAAAATTTTATCGCGATTTGATAAACGCAAACAACAGGCATATTTATAATAAAGAGTCACAATGCAACAATATTAGAAAATTTCACCAATATGGTCACACGAGCCTTCTGAAAATGGATGGTTGTAAAACCCGGCGGAGACTTCGACGTTACCTCGTAGATATGTCACGCCACGTTAAAGAAGCATCTCACTCTAATGTCCAATTCAAATACGTAATTCTACAAAATTCTGCCCTTTTCTCCATTTTTTTTCTCAAGGAAAGCCTAGGTATCCTCTGGCACCAACTTATCATAATTTTTCACTCATATTTCAATACACTCCCCATCTTTCCATATGATGATCCAATTTCAGTAGCAATGTCAAGAACAGTACGTCGGCTGACAACGCTTTTAATTTGTCTAGGGGATATACACTTAAAACAGAGCCTCCAAAAAGCGGCAACACCTCTCATCAACGTCCATGGAAGTTCTATTTTTCTTACATTTTGTATGCCACTTGAAAACCAGTAACTAAATGCATTTTCCTCCACCCTATGTCAAGAATATACGCGTTTAAGAAAGAGCGGTCCCGGGATTTTCACAAAAGTTATACCTTTACCGAAATTTGACGTTATCTAACAACTGAAAGATGAACAATAAATCGTCAACTAATAAACTAAATATCGAGTAAAATCAGTAAAACTCTTACAAGAAGGTTTATAAAAGATCAAGCAATCGTAATAGTGACATTATTTTCGTTTTATAAACCACATAGGGCGGTTTTATTCTCATTTCACGTATTAAGAATTAAAATGAAAATTAACGCATTAATGTCTCCCCCGCATTTCAAAAACAACCGTTTCTATGGCAACTACCATAGAGTTACTACAATAAATATTCAAAATGTTTTTTTAATTAAAATATTCAACAAGTGTCTATATTTTCACTTGTAATTTTCAAATAAGTTATTTCACTAAAAAATAAATAAGATATGTAGAAATTCTACGAACTTTTGGATCAACCCTCGTACAATTAATATTTAAAATGCCACTCAGCAATCTCCTCATTTATTATTGCAATTATACAACATCTACTTTTTTCTATCATACTTATCACAAAATGAAGAAAGTTTAACACCGAGAATAGAAAAAGACTTAAGTAGTGATTTATGATCGCATCTGAAAATTAGAAGTATGAGGGATATATGGAAATAATATTTAGTGTCATACCTTTTTAAATTATACTAGAAAACATGATGAAGCGCTGCTTCATAAGTCGGAATATCACAATTTATGTTGTATGTCTTGTAAGAATAAAACACATCAATTAGCAAGTGCTATCTTTCTTCTAAATATTTTCTTCATCGGAAGAAATGTACATGTAATACGAATAAAAAATCTGTAAAAAAAAGTAGATTTTTTTCGATTTTTAGGCTTTCAGGACTCTATTAAAACAAAGTTAACCAAAATAAATAATTAAAACGAAATTGTCAATAGAGGTAATGCTTACATCATTTGTTAGATTTGGACAGATTGTCTGCTTTTAGGTCTCAATAACGAAACTCTTATAAACGAAACGGTGAGTAGTATTCATCTTTTGAACTTTTAAAGTTATCTTTTTTATCAGAGGGTCTGTACCCCTGTATACTCGTCCTACTTAGCTTTCATAAACTAAATAAACAGACATAAACAGACATAACGAGTGTATGAATTCAATTCAAGCCTTCATTTAGATCCATGTATTTCCTTTAATGAGAATCAGAATCAATGCATAGTCCTACATCGGGTTGATCAAGGTTATTCAAATAATGGCCTTTAAAGTTAAATAAGGCTAAAATTGGAGATTAAATTTTACATAATTAATGTCCATAGAAAAATTCTTAATAAAATTGTCTTCAGAACAGTGAAATTCAATATATTTATTTTCTATGGTTAAAATGTCATATTTGAACATCACTTATATTTAAAAAAAAAATCGAAATTATTGAGATATAGACATTTCGATAAATAACTCGTTTTAAAATTTATACTACCAGTATTTACAATGTAACGTGGTTTACAAGATGCAAAGAATTGTTTGGCAAAAATAAATTTGTATTCGTGTGACGCAAAAAATCATTTTAAACAATTTTTTACTTTCATATTTTATTTAGTACTTTTCCATAAACCATAATATTTCTTTTAAATGAAGAGAAGTGTTAAAATTATTTAGGAAGAATTTGAAATATTTCGTCAACTAGAAAGTTGTTCATGGTCGTAAAATTATTCTGAAATTACACAAACTGAAAATAGAAAAATTAATGCCATGTTTTAATGCTTATAATACTAATGAAATTGAATTGGATGTTTTAAACTACTTTTAGAGAAAAAATTCATAATTTAACTTAACTATTTGTAAACATATTTTATATTTTCCTTAAAAACATGCTTTCGCTGAATTCATTCAATGCATAATAGAGATAAACCCACGGCATGATATATCGTTATCATTGAACCATTTAGCTACCCCTGCCCATTACATTAGACTTCATCAATTATTAATAGACAGTTTTTAATCATAGATATATAGGTTATGAAAATGTGGAAATTTAACATTAGTGACTGTCGTGCTGAGAGCTCACAAACAAACAAATTATCGCCATATTGTAAAAGAAGACAGTTGACATGGAATCAGTCGCTCATCCTAAAAGGATCAGTCTTTACCTCAGTGCTGGACACGTTCTGACTCTGTTACACACCTGCTTCTCTCAGTGCTACATTCCATTTAATCCTAAAGCTTTGCTCATTAGCAATTATGACAATTCTTCTGTGTCTGGTTTTAACCTTATGTCCAATGCTGACATTGCAATGTGCATGATGGTTTGTTACAGGTTTAGTTTGTGTAGTTCAGTGGATTGGAGTGTACAAAATGGGACATGTCGGCTGAATACAAGGTCTGCCATAAAGAATGTCAGTGGTTTAATGACCGAGGGCTACACCATTCATGTTGACCGGGAAAATTTTCCAAAGGTAAGAAATTGAAATTAATTTTCAATGACATGCAGTCGGTCACATGATCAGACTTTCTTGCGTATATGGAAAGTAAACCGCGCGAGACATTTGGAAAGTCTTGACTGTGACGTCATAAGATGTTGTTTGTTTATACGTTATGTTGCATTTCAATAGAAATTTTAAATCGTGCATTTTGTCTTTGTAATATGAATAGAAATATAAATATAAGAAATAAGATATCTTTTTTAAAAAAAGTTTTTTAGGGTTATTTTTAGGGTTATTACAAGAAGTCTAGTACATGATCAAATCAACTGTAACGCACTTCGGGTGTTATAGAATTTGAACACGTGACCGATTTCTTGTCATACCCCAATGGAACTCTAAAAATGATAATCATCTTATTCCTTGATTATTTTTATATGCCAATGTCTTTCCTTATATGACAATACGAATTAAATTTATTTTCAATTTCCAATGACAGACAGTTAGCCATGTGATAAGTCTTTCGTGGGAATAAAAGGCAAACTGTGGGAGATATTTGGAAGGTCTAGACTGTGACGTCACATAGTGTTGTACATCTACGATATGTTACATTTCTATAATAATAAAACATTCTGGAAATGTAAGATTTGATCATGTGACCAACTTTTTTTATGAAATATCCCAATGAAACTCTGAAAATGATATCTAATTTTTTTATTTATATCTATAAAACATATTAAGGGAATCACAGATTTGAGTCAATTTACTTTCAGCATTTGACAGGCATCTGTCTGAACCATTCCTGTTCTGAAGATGAAATCTGTATTGGTGGTAAATGTCTACCTGTCTTTAAAGGTAACACATGCTCTGTATTCTTAGGTTTTATTTCATTTTCTGGAAGCCTAACTTTTTTTACTTCGATGTAGCATTTCTGATTTACAGATCCTTTTTCTATTTGTTAATTTCACTGAGAAGGACAATGATATATATCCTTAAACAACATTTATGTACGTCGCGAAAATTGATTTTTGGTCTGGAAGCATATTGTCAAATAAACTGTAAATTTGAACAAATATATTACATAATTATTTTGTGAACAAAACCTTTTTTTCTCTTCAGCTGTACAAGTATGTATTATCTTCTTCGTTTGTAGTTTTATCCGTTCCTTCTGTCAATTTCTGCACACGCTTGTACAAAATATTTACAAAAACATATTCATTTGTCAAATTTGAAAAAAAATATTGGATCAAAGGTCCCAACTCACACAAGCCTGGGGGACTTCCACAACATCAACCCAGTAATTTAAGGGGTGAGCTTTTTACGTGTCAAACCAAAAAACCTTAATTTGTCTCGAATTTTCGACAAATAAATTGAACGACTCTGACATATCAAAATGAGGAAAAATATTCTTATTTGCGAAATATTATAGAAAGAATTAATAAAATTTATTATTTAATCATTTATAATTATACAATCAAAATTGTACGTGTTATCAGAGCATAAAACGTCAAAAAAGAAATGTGCGTTAAAGTGCGTGATTGCGGATTAAATGTATATACGTTAAGTGAGTGATGGGGGGGGGGGCAACGGTATATGAGTTAAAACGCGTGTCTGTGGGGGAAGGGATTACTTTTTTTATTCATTTAAATTAATTTTTATTTCTTTAAAAACAAATGACAAAAAAGTTGATAAAAAAGGTATAGGATTTTATTTAAATACCAAATTATCAACGGACATTTTTGTTTATCTTACCATGATAGGAAGCTCACGGTGAGTCTGACTTTTGAAAGCTAATGTTTTTTCCTCCCTGGTACCCGATCCCATCGGTTTTCAGGGGTCCCTGTTTGCTCTTATCATTATTTGTATTGTTTTAGTGGACTTATGAGAATGATGACAGTTTGTTATCCTTCCTTGTGATATGTAGCCTACACGCTAATGTGACTAATGATACAAAGAATCATGGGTTGTTTGTAGAAGGATAGCATCTATTAAGCTCTCTTAGTACATAAGTACCTATAAGTAATTACAAACGACCGATCTTAAATATCTTTTGGTATATTGTTATTGTTGAATACATGGAGAAACATTATCAAATTAAATGAGTTTGTTATGGGTCTATTAATTTTTGGGTGAACGAAATTGAATGGATTTTTAAAATCATATAATGCAAAGACACGTGTAGCAGATTCAATAGGTCTTCTTATTAAAATATTATTATCAAAATATTGTATAATTTTAATTTTTTTATTTGTATTGTTTCATAAGACATTGAGCAGAATTATTGTTCGTTATCTTTGAATCTCATCCATTAACTAGAACAAAGAAACAAGGATTGCTTAGACATCTTAGAAAAAGACCCCAGCAAGAGAGGACTAGATGGAGTGTATGTAATTTACCCCGACATCATGAGAGAGGTCTACTGTGACATGACCACAGATGGAGGAGGGTGGACGGTGAGTAGTGTGTTTTATTGTCAATTTTATACATTGACAACACATGGAGAGAAGTCTACTGTGACATGACGATAGATGGAGGGGGGCAGGTGGACGGTGAGTAGTATACTGTTATGGAATGGGTACTGGGGAAATAGCAAATTTATGGTTCCCCGAGGGAGGAAACTATTTCCCGAGACGGCGAAGCCCATTCCATAACTCTTTTATTATACCGAAACAATCATAGGCAATATAATTTTTTTTACCAGATATTCCGACATTAAAATGAACACTGTAGAGGCTTAATTACAAATGCATGGGGTTTAACACATTGTATGATAAATAATGCATCCTGTCCTAAATCAAAATATTTTTAAAAAGTATTTTCACTGAGATTCCGAAGAATAATCGTTGTTTTCATTTTGCTAGAATTCAAGTTTGATTATGACATCGCATGTCGTAACGTTTTGACGTCATTGTACAAAACATATAACATGACTCAGAGATTCCTTGAATGCTCCGCCCAGTGAACACTTTGATTGGTTAAAATTACTGATAAATATTCATGAGGGAGTAGGCCCAAGGAGTAGCTCTGATTTTCCAGGGAGTAGTCTTCAGATGATGTCTCTTCATGGGGAAATAGACAGTTTTATGGTATTAGTTTTACATAGAGTAATTATAGTAGATGTAAAATAATGTGTTTTATTGACAATGTAATACATCAACAACACCTGGAGAGAGGTCTGCTGTGACATGACGACATATAGAGGAGGATGGACGGTGAGTTGTGTGTTTTATTGTCATTGTTATACATCCACAACACCTGAAGAAAGGGCTATTGTGACATGACGACAGATGGAGGAGGATGGACGGTGAGTAGTATGTTTTGTTGTCATTGTTGTACAACGACAACACCTGGAGAGAGGTCTACTGTGACATGACAACCGATGGATAGGGATGGACGGTGAGTTATGTGTTTATTGTCAATAATTTACATAGACAACTCCTGGAGAGAGGTCTACTGTGACATGACGACAGATGGAGGAGGATGTACGGTGAGTTGTTTTATTGTGAATGTTATACATCTACAACACCTAGAGAGAGGTCTACTGTGTCATGACGACAGACGGAGGAGGATGGACGGTGAGTAGTATATTTTATTGTCAATGTTATACATCGACAACACCTGGAGATAGGTGTTCTGTGACATGACGACAGATGGAGGAGGATGGACGGTGAGTAGTGTGTTTTATTGTCAATGTTATACATCGACAACACATGGAGAGAAGTCTACTGTGACATGACGATAAATGGAGGGGGCAGGTGGACGGTGAGTAGTATACTGTTATGGAATGGGTACTGGGGAAATAGCAAATTTATGGTTCCCCGAGGGAGGAAACTATTTCCCGAGACGGCGAAGCCCATTCCATAACTCTTTTATTATACCGAAACAATCATAGGCAATATAATTTTTTTACCAGATATTCCGACATTAAAATGAACACTGTAGAGGCATAATTACAAATGCATGGGGTTTAACACATTGTATGATAAATAATGCATCCTGTCCTAAATCAAAATATTTTTAAAAAGTATTTTCACTGACATTCCGAAGAATAATCGTTGTTTTCATTTTGCTAGAATTCAAGTTTGATTATGACATCGCATGTCGTAACGTTTTGACGTCATTGTACAAAACATATAACATGACTCAGAGATTCCTTGAATGCTCCGCCCAATGAACACTTTGATTGGTTAAAATTACTGATAAATATTCATGAGGGAGTAGGCCCAAGGAGTAGCTCTGATTTTCCAGGGAGTAGTCTTCAGATGATGTCTCTTCATGGGGAAATAGACAGTTTTATGGTATTAGTTTTACATAGAGTAATTATAGTAGATGTAAAATAATGTGTTTTATTGACAATGTAATACATCAACAACACCTGGAGAGAGGTCTGCTGTGACATGACGACATATAGAGGAGGATGGACGGTGAGTTGTGTGTTTTATTGTCATTGTTATACATCCACAACACCTGAAGAAAGGGCTATTGAGACATGACGACAGATGGAGGAGGATGGACGGTGAGTAGTATGTTTTGTTGTCATTGTTGTACAACGACAACACCTGGAGAGAGGTCTACTGTGACATGACAACCGATGGATAGGGATGGACGGTGAGTTATGTGTTTATTGTCAATAATTTACATAGACAACTCCTGGAGAGAGGTCTACTGTGACATGACGACAGATGGAGGAGGATGTACGGTGAGTTGTTTTATTGTGAATGTTATACATCTACAACACCTAGAGAGAGGTCTACTGTGTCATGACGACAGACGGAGGAGGATGGACGGTGAGTAGTATATTTTATTGTCAATGTTATACATCGACAACACCTGGAGATAGGTGTTCTGTGACATGACGACAGATGGAGGAGGATGGACGGTGAGTAGTGTGTTTTATTGTCAATGTTATACATCGACAACACATGGAGAGAAGTCTACTGTGACATGACGATAAATGGAGGGGGCAGGTGGACGGTGAGTAGTATACTGTTATGGAATGGGTACTGGGGAAATAGCAAATTTATGGTTCCCCGAGGGAGGAAACTATTTCCCGAGACGGCGAAGCCCATTCCATAACTCTTTTATTATACCGAAACAATCATAGGCAATATAATTTTTTTACCAGATATTCCGACATTAAAATGAACACTGTAGAGGCATAATTACAAATGCATGGGGTTTAACACATTGTATGATAAATAATGCATCCTGTCCTAAATCAAAATATTTTTAAAAAGTATTTTCACTGACATTCCGAAGAATAATCGTTGTTTTCATTTTGCTAGAATTCAAGTTTGATTATGACATCGCATGTCGTAACGTTTTGACGTCATTGTACAAAACATATAACATGACTCAGAGATTCCTTGAATGCTCCGCCCAATGAACACTTTGATTGGTTAAAATTACTGATAAATATTCATGAGGGAGTAGGCCCAAGGAGTAGCTCTGATTTTCCAGGGAGTAGTCTTCAGATGATGTCTCTTCATGGGGAAATAGACAGTTTTATGGTATTAGTTTTACATAGAACAATTATAGTAGATGTAAAATAATGTGTTTTATTGACAATGTAATACATCAACAACACCTAGAGAGAGGTCTGCTGTGATATGACGACATATAGAGGAGGATGGACGGTGAGTTGTGTGTTTTATTGTCATTGTTATACATCCACAACACCTGAGGAAAGGGCTATTGAGACATGACGACAGATGGAGGAGGATGGACGGTGAGTAGTATGTTTTGTTGTCATTGTTGTACAACGACAACACCTGGAGAGAGGTCTACTGTGACATGACAACCGATGGATAGGGATGGACGGTGAGTTATGTGTTTATTGTCAATAATTTACATAGACAACTCCTGGAGAGAGGTCTACTGTGACATGACGACAGATGGAGGAGGATGTACGGTGAGTTGTTTTATTGTGAATGTTATACATCTACAACACCTAGAGAGAGGTCTACTGTGTCATGACGACAGATGGAGGAGGATGGACGGTGAGTAGTATATTTTATTGTCAATGTTATACATCGACAACACCTGGAGATAGGTGTTCTGTGACATGACGACAGATGGAGGAGGATGGACGGTGAGTAGTGTGTTTTATTGTCAATGTTATACATCGACAACACATGGAGAGAAGTCTACTGTGACATGACGATAAATGGAGGGGGCAGGTGGACGGTGAGTAGTATACTGTTATGGAATGGGTACTGGGGAAATAGCAAATTTATGGTTCCCCGAGGGAGGAAACTATTTCCCGAGACGGCGAAGCCCATTCCATAACTCTTTTATTATACCGAAACAATCATAGGCAATATAATTTTTTTACCAGATATTCCGACATTAAAATGAACACTGTAGAGGCATAATTACAAATGCATGGGGTTTAACACATTGTATGATAAATAATGCATCCTGTCCTAAATCAAAATATTTTTAAAAAGTATTTTCACTGACATTCCGAAGAATAATCGTTGTTTTCATTTTGCTAGAATTCAAGTTTGATTATGACATCGCATGTCGTAACGTTTTGACGTCATTGTACAAAACATATAACATGACTCAGAGATTCCTTGAATGCTCCGCCCAATGAACACTTTGATTGGTTAAAATTACTGATAAATATTCATGAGGGAGTAGGCCCAAGGAGTAGCTCTGATTTTCCAGGGAGTAGTCTTCAGATGATGTCTCTTCATGGGGAAATAGACAGTTTTATGGTATTAGTTTTACATAGAACAATTATAGTAGATGTAAAATAATGTGTTTTATTGACAATGTAATACATCAACAACACCTAGAGAGAGGTCTGCTGTGATATGACGACATATAGAGGAGGATGGACGGTGAGTTGTGTGTTTTATTGTCATTGTTATACATCCACAACACCTGAGGAAAGGGCTATTGAGACATGACGACAGATGGAGGAGGATGGACGGTGAGTAGTATGTTTTGTTGTCATTGTTGTACAATGACAACACCTGGAGAGAGGTCTACTGTGACATGACAACCGATGGATAGGGATGGACGGTGAGTTATGTGTTTATTGTCAATAATTTACATAGACAACTCCTGGAGAGAGGTCTACTGTGACATGACGACAGATGGAGGCGGATGTACGGTGAGTTGTTTTATTGTGAATGTTATACATCTACAACACCTAGAGAGAGGTCTACTGTGTCATGACGACAGACGGAGGAGGATGGACGGTGAGTAGTATATTTTATTGTCAATGTTATACATCGACAACACCTGGAGATAGGTGTTCTGTGACATGACGACAGATGGAGGAGGATGGACGGTGAGTAGTGTGTTTTATTGTCAATGTTATACATCGACAACACACGGAGAGAGGTCTACTGTGACATGACGACAGATGGAGGAATATGGACGGTGAGTTGTGTGTTTTATTGTGAATGTTATACATCTACAACACCAGAAAAGAGGTCTACATAAAAATTGAATTTTAATAAATAGTTTTGAAGTAAGAAGTTGACGAGTGACTTACCTTAATCTAAATTCACACCTTTATTTCACAATGAAACGGAAATACAAGTAGTCGATGATAACGGCCTCGTCCGTTATGCAAACAATCCCTCATTTTCAGCATAATAGACAATTAAACATTAAACATGCTTCATAAATAAAGGAATAAATAAATAAAGGAAGTTGATTATAGAAAATATAAAGTCATCATTTTATTACATTGTTCTTTTTTTGATAGTATCCAATAAGTCTTTCTTTAGTAAAATGTCAAGAAATCAAACTGAAATTTCGGATTCTGAGGTTCTTTTATTTTGAATCAAATCAATTATCGAACATGATTGAAATGTTGATACATTTTATTTTAAAGGCCACAATATCAAAATGTTTAATGTGTTAGTTTTTAAGAAGCTTTCCGCCTCATATGAATATTAAAATGGCTTTAAACGGAACGCAATAAGTACTGTATACAGTGTTAATATCGCCCCGTTTTATTTTCGCCCTTTCACACTTGTAAACAATTTTCCACGTTTTAAATTCGCCCAGTAACCTTTTTTGTTTCAGAAATTATATTGTATACTATTAATTTGCCAAAATGAGGTTAGGGCGAAAGGGACGAAAATAAATCGGTGGCGAAAATTTCCCTGTATACAGTATCCGTGAGAATATCAAAAATTGTCGGAAGTCTTGACGTGCTTGGAGAAAATTTATGAACCATCAAATTGTTTATAACACATTTCTTTTGCAAAAGACCAATGAAAAGATATTCTAATTTACAAAACAGGTGATTCAGAAACGAGAAAATGGTGAGGTTGAATTTTATAGGACATGGAACGAGTATAAACATGGATTTGGGCATGTCACTGAAAATTACTGGATAGGTAGGTCTCTGTAGATTTTTGATTTCTTTGTAAATATATTTGTATTTGAATACCTCTAATTCATTAGCAATGAAATCCACCTAACAAAGAATTGTATGGCATACATATATCATCAAACTTTTAAATAATTTAGAATTATTTTTGCAGATGCCCAATGACAAGGGAATTAAATTTACGATTTCCGTTTTTATTAGCTCACCTGAGCTGAAAGCTCAAGTGAGCTTTTCTGATCACATTTAGTCCGGCGTCCGTCTGTCTGTCTGTCCGTCTGTCTAGCTGTCCGTCTGTCTGTAAACTTTTCACATTTTCGACTTCTTCTCTAAAACCACTGGGCCAATTTGAACCAAACTTGCCACAAAGTATCCTTGGGTGAAGGGGATTCAAGTTTGTTAAAATGAAGGGCCAAGCCCTCTTCAAAGGGGAGATAATTATGAATTAATGAAAAATTAATGGTTCTTTTAAAAATCTTCTTCTTCAGAACCACTGGGCCAGGAAAGATGAAACTCATGTGAAAGCATCCTTAGGTAGTGTAGATTCAAGTTTGTTCAAATCATGACCCCCGGGGGTAGGGAGGGGCCACAATGGCTGATCAAAGTTTTACATAAAATCTTTAAAAATCTTCTTCTTCAGACCCACAGGGCCAGGAAAGATGAAACTCATGTGAAAGCATCCTTAGGTAGTGTAGATTCAAGTTTGTTCAAATCATGACCCCCGGGGGTAGGGAGGGGCCACAATGGCTGATCAAAGTTTTACATAGGAATATATAGGAGAAATCTTTAAAAATCTTCTTCTTCAGAACCACTGGGCCAGGAAAGATGAAACTCATGTGAAAGCATCCTTAGGTAGTGTAACGTGCAAGGGAGGTCACTGCCCGTGAATCCCCGCAGGCTCGTACCCGTGATAAAAAAGGATAGCCTTGAGATGCTGCAAATATGTACAATGCGCAGTCTTAATCACTTGGTACTGCGTTATATAAGGTCTTTACTGGTAGCGAACAAGTGACACTGGCAGGGAAGTCCACACACCAGCGCACTTCCACAAGAGACAAGCAGGGATGACTGCACACTTGCCCTTGCGCAGTGACAAGCAGGGATGACCACACACTTGACACTAATACGGTTCTAGTCTAGAGACACTGGCAGGGATGTCCGCACACCAATGCTCTACCACAAGATGAAGGCAGGGATGTCCACACACCTTATCTTGCGCAGCAACAAGCAGGGATGTCCGCACACTTGCTGCTAAGAGATGCCAATTACAGAGCAGGGATGACCACACACTCTGTCAAGCAATAAGCAGGGATGACCGCACACTTACTACTTATCACAGTACAATATAAGCAGGGGAATCCGCACACTTACATGTACACACAAGGTTGTTCAAGTGTGACCTCTAGAACCTTTTTTTTATTCATCGCCAGTAAAAACCCTTATATCTCAAGTACCATCTATGATACACAGTGATTAAATATATACAAAGTAATTAAAACACGAATCAAGCTTCCAATCAACCAATCTTTAGTAATCCAACTAGTGTAACATACAATGGTTATTATTGATAACTTTAATTCAAATTCAACACTAATTAAGTATTTATTTAAGCACATATATAATTAGTTATTAAAATGACAAGGGCGATAACTTTCGCTATAATAAAAATATAGGAAACAGCTTTCCGTTTCAGTAGTGTAGATTCAAGTTTGTTCAAATCATTACCCCCGGGGGTAGGGCGGAGTCACAATGGCTGATCAAAGTTTTACATAGGAATATGTAGGAAAAATCTTTAAAAATCTTCTTTTCAAGAATTACTGAGTCAGAAAAGCTGAAACTTATGTGGATGCATTCTTAGATAGTGTAGATTCAAATTTGTTCAAATCATAACACCCAGAGGTTGGGAGGGGCCTTGACATTGAAAGGGGTCAAAGTGTAGGGAAAATAATTAAATAATTTTTAATAATTAAAATATTCCACTAAATATTAATGGGACTTTAATTACTGTTATGAAAAGAAAATAATAAAATCATAAAAATAAAAACAAGATTAACATCGATATAAGTATTTTTTCTTTATTTAGAATATTATATATTTCAATCGGGTTCGATATCCGGTTTACGTGAAAACGAGGCTTTCTATTGCGGCCATATTGGAAGAAAGTTGTCGAGTACAGACTGTGGATATCGTGGTAGTTTAAGTAGAAATCGGGTTCAAATTAATTGTATCAAGGTAATGAGATGTATTTATTTACAAAAGAGAAAAACCGTGTTTGTAGAAAATCATTAAACAGACAACGTAAATTAGAAAGTAAATATAGATCTATAGTTAGTAATGGCAAAAAATTGGTACTGCGTTTTTATGTGTTTTTTATGATTTGCTTGAGATATTACCGGAAACGTTTTGAGTCACCAATATTAATTATGGTGATGAAGGCTTATTTAATTCATTCCTCATTCTAGTTCAAGTAAAGCCTACTTTTAAAGTGTTTTGAACTTACGGTGTTTTGTCTGTGTAATGCATATGATATAGCGGGAATGTAACATGTTTTTCAATGCAACATACAGTATTTGTTATGGAAGTACAGAAGGTACACCACTTTACACAGGAAGAAGGATCAGGAAGGATGTCTTTACTTATTCAAATTTTCTTCAAAGCATCATTGTATTAAATAAAGATAATAATGTTAAAAATGCAAGTGTTTGTTATGTCTAGTGCTTTTTAGAAATAAGGTTCAGATACAATAACATGTATAGAGAGGCTTAAAAATAAATGTTTCTTTCCTCTAACATGACTGATCCATTCTGATTCAAATCACCCACAGGCACTTGTTTCGGGAATAAATTTTAACCCATTCTAAGGTTGAGTTTCACTTTCCACTCGGCGAGCAGAGTTTTGAAGCTGATTACAGAGATAAAAAAAAGAAATAATGACAAGCATGTCGGATATGGTTGTGTAGATAACTTATCGCAGTGGACATAGGTACAAACAGATTCCCGTGCATTTCCTCTGAAGGTGTAAATGAGCGCAATTCTAAGGGAGGGGGTACTCTGTGTAATTTGGAGTTAGATACCTTGTGTTCTTAGTATGGGTCAAAAATTTATTACAGTAACAAGTGCTTGTGAAATCACCCCTCGGTAGTGGATTTTCCCCTTGCCAATTGCTAATTAATGTAGTAATATGAAGAAAGTAGGTTAGGAAAACAAAACTGACCCCCTTTACAATATAGGATTTATGGGTTCATAGATTTATCATACCCCCCGCAAACGAAGTTTGGGGGGGGTATATAGGAATCACCTTGTCAGTCTGTCTGTCTAGCTGTCTGTCTAGCTGTCCGTCCGTCTGTCTGTGCAATCGTGTCCGGTCCATATCTTTCTTACAGAGGGACATTAGAATCTACTACTCCACACTAAGATTGCTCATAACCTAAGGGTGTGTCATGACCTTGACCCAAGGTCATTTGGGAAAGTTCAAGGTCACTGGAAGAAAATTTTCATAATTCGTGTCAGGTCCATATCTTTCTTACGGATAAACTTGGTAGGTTTTCATTTCACACAAAGATTGCCCATGACCCAAGGATATGTCATGACCTTAACCCAAGGTCATTTGGGGAAGTTCAAGGTCACTGGAAGGAAAATATCATAATTCGTGTCCGGTCCATATCTTTCTTATGGATAAACTTGGTAGGTTCTTATTTCACACAAAGATTGCCCATGACCCAAGGGTGTGTCATGACCTTGAACCAAGGTCACTTTGAGAAGTTCAAGGTCACTGATAGAAAAATGTCATAATTCGTGTCCGGTCCATATCTTTCTTATGGATACACTTGGTAGGTTCTCATTTCACACAAAGATTGCCCATGACCCAAGGGTGTGTCATGACCTTGACCCAAGGTCATTTGGGGAAGTTCACGGTAACTGGAAGAAAAATTTCGTAATTCGTGTCCGGTCCATATCTTTCTTACGGATAAACTTGGTAGGTTCTCATTTCACTGAAAGATTGCCCATGACCCAAGGGTGTGTCATGACCTTGACCCAAGGTTATTTGGGGAAGTTCAAGGTCACTTGAATAAAAATTTCATAATTCGTGTTTGATACATATCTTTATTATGGAAAAACTTACTTCTGAAAAACCCAGCGGGGGGTATTTTGTCCCGTTTGGACAGTTCTAGTTTTCCTTTCCTTTTCAAAACTTTCAGATATTCAGGCCAAAAATAAAATTAGCTTTGTTTGGCGTTGCCGTCCGACTCAAGTAAACCAGTGCGGTCCGAAGAATTTTTTCAACTGAAGTGGGTCGTAATTTTTTTTTTTTTGGCTGTATTTATCAGGATTTAGGTGTCGGTACTTTTGAGTAGTATACAAAATAGGAA